GGACCTGAGAGAGAAAGTTCTCTCTCAGGTCCGCTCCTCTGCTCAGTGGGCAGGTACAATAGCCAGCCTGTTATTGGCTATTGAAATTTAATATTGTCAATAGCTGGCTGGCTATTGCTGCCCATTGTTTACATTATCCTGCCGACCGCAGAATCTAGTCATGGCCAGCAGCAAAATGTAAACAATTTTTTTGTGTGCATCCAGCCACCACCAAATAAACTTGAGGAATTTTTATTTTTTTGCTGGTTGCTTGAGAGTGCCAGTTGCCTGAATGCCGAATAATGGGGAGTTTACTGTACTTTAAAAAGGAAACACAATTAAAAATAAATAATCCCATTTTATTCAAAATAAAGAAAATATCCGGATTTCACACTGCAGTTTTTTCATCACTTCTCTAGTCATTCTTCTTTCCATTTATAAAGTCTTGACTCAGAGCCCCCTCCCCCCTTTCCATCACTGCCAGGCCTATGCTCGGATCAAGGTTCTGGTAGGGAATTTTAGGGAACCCCACATCCCCCCCCCCATTTTTGGGGGTGGGGTTCCTCCTTAAAATTCCTACCAGGCCTTAAGGGCCTGGTAGGACTTTAAAGGGGAACCCCACACACTTTATTGTGGTTTTTTTACATGGGGTCCCTCCTAACTATCCCTACCAGACCTTAAGGGTCTGGTATGACTTTGGGGGAACCGCACACTTTAAAAAAAAAAAATTGGTCCCGCCTAACATTACTACCAGACCTAAGGTGTATTGTTTGGGAGAGGGAGCTACACGCTTAAAAAAAAAATGTCATTTTTTTCTCTTCAGAAATATCAGTTTTGCTGCAGCAGGTTCTATACATCCTACAGATCCCCACTTCACAGGCAATTCATGGGGAACCCCCAGGCACAATATTTAAATAATTTTTTCATTCTTATTGTTACCCTTCAACCGATGTTAAAATCACTGCTCCTTTAAAAACTCTATTTTTTTAAAGTGTTTTTTTCATTGATTCCTGTCCCCCAGTGTAAAATACTTGCCTTGACTCCGCCCCCTTGCTGGCGATGTCACAACTCTCCTCCTTCCTTGCTGATTTAAACCACAAGGTTTACTTGTCTGGTGTTTGTGCAACAAATGCAGACGCTGGACATAGAGACTCTGCCTCCATGAGCTTAGGCAACATCCCTGCTACTGCTGAACCGCCTCATACCCTGCTACTAACCCTGAGCATTACACCTTCCATACCACCAACTCTTCCCTATTGACTGGATGTGCCTCTCGCCTCATTGCTGTGTTCACCTGCATGCTGCTCCTGATCTCTCCAGTTGCCATTATTAGCAACCACCTGCTGCACAGCCTCCAGGACTTTCAGATAACCACTACTACTCTGGGATACATCCAGGATTTCACTACCTGCTCAAGACACTACACACCTGAGCCTACTGACTGCAAGTATCACATTATTCAATACCAAATACAATGAACATTAATTGTTTCACAAAGTGTAACGTTTTGTTTCACTAAAACTTTGTCAATTCATTGATGCTATGTAATCAACTGCCATGCATACAGGTGATATCTAACTACACCTGTTCCTGGACATTAACTCTCTAAAGCAAAGACACTTCAAGCTGCTACTGTGCTTTCAGAGAGCTCTTACTATAATTACTTTTTCTACTACCGTTCTGCCTTATTGACTGTTCACCCTCATGGTAGCTTCACCTGTGCTTAAGTGCCTTCCACAGGCTTAAGGGGAACTTGAGTAAAAATTCCTATTCGTACTTGTGATCTATAAAACACATCAGCCCCCATTCCTCGAGCGTTACACCCAGGGCAGTACCCGGACCCCCATACACCTTTTATGGCCAATAACTTGCATATAAGCCCTCTTAAAGGGGACTATTGTTTTTGAAAGTTCTACCCCCATAGACTTGCATTGAGTTCGAATTCAAACTTTTTGGATGTTCTAAAGTTCGAATTCGAACCAAACTCGGGGCCATCACTACTTCTGATCAGATCCACCTGAAAAAAAACTGACAGGGGGATCTGACTAAAATGTGAAAGGAACTTTATTCTATAAATTGTTTTTCCAGTCTTGCTGTCTTTCTTCTAGCATACTGAGCATTATGTATTACTGTGCAGTGTTCTATGAACATGCTGCACTATGTAGTAATGTCTTCATGTGTAATAGAGGAAGGAGGTTTTTGTATGGCTCTGTATCACTGTGTGAAAGGAGTGCTCTGACGTGTCAAATGAGGGGGCGGCCCCTGGGGACCGCTTCCCTCGTAACTTAGGTTACGGCGGATGGGGTTAATAGGGCGCGGGCGCAAGTGAAAATCCACACCTGCCGACTAACGCTCGGAACACCTGTGTCCGATGCGTGTAATCCGGAGGTGGGGGTTACTTAAGGGGAGGGATCAACTGGGTTTAGGGTGGAGAGCATACCATTCGGAGCAGTGAGCCGAGGATAGCACACCTCTATGCAACTTGGACTTAAATTAGGTAAATTCCTTTTTCTTCTCTTTTCATGTTTGATTTTTGTTTGACACTTTTTTGTAGTTTTCAATCATGTTTTTGCGGTTTTTGCAATGGGAATCCTATACACCAAGGAGTACCAATTAGTAGTATCCATTTATTTCACTCAGGATTTGGGACACATATATACAATTGTTAGGTTTGAGATCATATATACCTATGCACATGCTCCATACACCAACTAATAGTAATTGAATGTCACTGAATTAAATGTATGAACAATTGTTCATTCACAGACCTATTCAGAATCACTGCCTAAATAACACTGATGTCTTCATTCTTTTTCTCATATACTACTTATTAGGGGGAGAGATCAATGAAAGGAGCTAGGGTGGAGGCGACCCACAAAAAGTTTCTTTGAAAGGAGTGCTCAAACCCTGCTGACAGTAATATCTTCCTTCATCATCTTCAGTCACGGCAGTAATTGTCAGAGTGTAAGAAGATCCATTAGTGCTGCCAGTGAACCGGTCTGAAACTCCTGTGTGTCGGGTGACTGCATTTATATATGAGAAGTGTTGGAGACTTTCCTGATTTCTGTTGGTACCAGGCTATACTGTTCCAAGTGCTAGTACTGGATGTATATGTGATGGTGACTGTCTGTCCCGGGGACACAGAGATAGAATCCGGAGTCTGAGTCATCACAATCTGTCCACAGGATCCTGAGGATGGGAAGAGACATATTGATTATTGATAAATGTCTGTATATCTTCCTATCAATCCTGATGTGTGTATTTATTGTACAATGTATAGATGTATGTGCAGAGGATGATGGAAGGAGCCTCATCTCTCACCCTGAAAAGAAATGAAGATGACAGCCAGCAGATAACTGTGAGAAAGCATCTTGATGTTTGTGGGGTGTCAGATACAAAGTAGAAGACGTCTCCCGTACAATGAGATATATAGAGAGAGTGATAGGGGAGATGTTACACCCCACACACTGTGTATGCAAATACCGGGGAGATGGAAATTCAAATTCTCAGATCAGTGATCTCTGCTATAAACACTCCAGTGTAACCAGCTACATGTGATCACACTAAATCATTATACTCATCATTGTTCACCTAAACTAAGTGACGGGGAGATGTTACACCCATAGGCATGCACAGTCTATTGCATTAGGGTGTGCAGAAAAGTACAAACACACACTATGTATATATATAATTATAGTGGGGATCACCTTCCCTGGGAAAAAGGTAGTCCAGGCAGCAAAGTTCTTTTGAATCTGACTTTATTTAAAAAAACAAATGTCCCCTGCACACCCTACAGCAATCAGGACCTGTGATGCTTGAAATAACAGTGGTGCTTGTGGTGATGTCCACAGATGGCGCCATGCAAATCCAGAGATGATAGCAATGAAGATCACCGGCAATCAAAAAATGGAATGAATCCAAAAGTACTTGTTATTGTAGAACAACGTCACATGTATCATATAGCCAACATTTCGGATCCGCACAGGGTCCCTTCATCAGGGAAAACATAGTGACAAAAGTCAGTTTTAAAAAAAAGATTGCAATAACAAAACAGAATAAACAGAAAATAAATCCTTGCCACCCAGGCTCTAACCAAACAGACAGGTTTCCTCTCTGAGCTTCTCTCAGCCACCTCACAAAACCAGTCTTTCCAGCAACCTTTTACTCACAAAGTTCCGAAATTGCAGCTCTCTCAGAAGGCTGCCTGAGTCCCAGGCCAGAGCCTCATCATGCTCAAGTATTTTATCTCAGCTGGATAAATAATCATAAATCAAACAATCCAGGTGAGAGACAAAAAAATCCGAACTGGATTACCCAATATCTACCCGAAAAACCTGGTCTGGATTTAAGATAGTCTTGCACATATGAGAGAAATCGAGGGGAAATATATCGCCCTTTGATGATTTTCCCTTTTCTTATGTCACAATACACACACACACACACACACACACGAAAGAGAGCAAGGAGAGGCACCCAGGAGAGAGAGCGAGGAGAGGGCAAGGAGAGACTCCAGGGGAGAGGGAGGAGAGAGAGCCAGGAGAGAGACTGAGGAGAGACAGCCAGAGGAGAGACAATCAGGGGAGAGCCATGAGAGACAGCCAGCGGAGAGAGCGTGGGAGATAGCCAGGAGAGAGAGCAAGAGGAGAAAGCCAGGAGACAGCCAGGGGAAAGAGAGAGGAGAGCAAGAAGAGACAGCTATGGGAGAAGGCAAGAGGAGACAGGCAGGAGAGAGAATGAGGAGTAATAGCGAGGCCTAACCACAGAAACCCCTTCCCCCGTCTGACCACAGGCACCCCTTCTCCCACCTGACCACAGGCACCCCCTTCCCTGCTTGATCACATTTCAGAAGCTGATCACAGACACCCCTCACCATAGTCTGACCATGGATACACTTCCCTGCCACAGAGAAGATGACATCTCCATGGTCAGATCTTCAGTGCCCCCTCCACCCCCCAAACACAGATCAAGCTCATGCTGTCAGTAAGGACATGCTTACAGTGTTCAGTATATTTCCAGAAATCAGAAATCGCGTGGAATAAAATGGTGGAAGTTGCAAATTTTTATGTCGCATGATAAAGACTGTAACTCTTTATCAAACACAACATTTCAATAAAAAATTCACGATAGTATTAGGTGCAAAAAAACACAATATATTACCCAATTTTTCATAAAATATAAAAGATGAAGTTGTGTTGAGTAAATAGATACCCAACATGCCAAGCATAAAACATACTTGTGCCAGTAAAATGGTGAAAAATATGGTACCCCAAATTGTCCATAGGCTGCAATTTAGAAGTCTGTACCGGTCATCAATTTAGAGATACCCCTGAATATTGGCCCTGGAATTACTGCTCACACTCTGGTGTACTGGGCAATATCCAACGTGTGGTGCAATCGTATTTTTTGTACGTAGGTGCACCTCATGCGTGTTTACAATAGTATGTGCATGTCCACGGGGGTGGGGGACTTAAAAAAAATGTTGGGGCTATTTTAAAATTTATTTTATTTAACTTTATTTAAACATTTTTTACTTGACTTCATTGCTATCATACAGGGGGGAGCACAACCTCCCCATGTGATAAGACTTTAGTGATGACGGGAATCTATTGGATCCCTAATGTTATCTTTGCAGTCCATTGAAGCTGATCAAGCATAGATCATGCTTGATGATCTTCTTCCCGGATTTCCTAGCCAGGGAAAGCTCAGAACCCGGAAGTGATGACATCTTTGTTGCTTCTAGTTTTATTCAGTGGGAAGGAGAGCAGCGAGTAGACGCTGGTCTCTCTACCCTCTACCGGCTAAGAGCCGCAATGCCAGTCTTGAGCCCACAGGAGAGGCAACTGAACCCAGGAAGCAAGGTGGGGAGTGGTCAGGTGGGGGAGCACCTGTTTTCTGACACCTGTAAGTGATCAGGTGGCTTTACATAGGTAAACAGACTCCTATTGGCCACAGCCTGTTTACAGAGCCCTCTGCTGCTGACGTATGACATATGTCAGTGGCACCAAAAGGGTTAAATTACATAGGAAACTTCAAATGGGACAAGCACAGGAGCAAGCTGCGCTCCTCAGAAATACACTAAATACACAAAATACAGTAAAACCTTCAGATTGGTAGAAACAATTGCTTCTTTGCTCTTATTAGTAGTATCATGTCTGGTAGAAACTGACAGGTGAATGTAAAGGACCATAAAGAAAAGGGTATGAAAAGGTCCCATATATCACAGGGGAAATGGATCTTTGTGGAGAAGTCAGAATTCTCTCTGTCCTTTTAAGGTACTGATAGGTAATTGCAATAATTGCTACATAATCTCATTTTCTGCTGAACACATCAAGTGCACATTAAATGCTGCAGGGTCATTTTAATAAATTATGTTGCAATATTAACCTCAATACCAACATGTTTCACCCCCTTTCTGCCCAAGCCATTTTTCAAAACTGTGATACTTTGACTGACAATTACCCAGTCATACAAATGTGTACCCAAATTAATGTTATATCATTTTTTAAAGATAGCTCAAACTTTTTTTGGAGCTATGTAATAACCACTGTGTTTTTTTATTTTGACAATATAAAGGTAAAAAAATGAAAAAAACATTGCAAAAAATTCCATGAGAGAACCATGTAATCATCAACTTCTTTTCGTGTAAACATCAAAAACATATAGGGTTAGGGTCAGGTACAAAGCTGTGCTGTGTATGTTTTTTAATGCTTACATGAAAAGAAGTTGATGATAACTTCTTTTCTGGAATTAAATAAATATTGTGATTTTTCAATATGTGTGTTTAATGAGATTCTGAGGTACCTTAAAATTCTTAAATCCCTATATGTTATTGTTAGTATATATCATTGGAATGTGGTAACCTTTAAAGTGACATTAAACTCTCAGATTTTTTTTAACATAAAACAATACTGTAATGTGCGCCTTACTGTAATCCATGGCAGTTTCCCTTCTCTTTGCTGCTCTTCCTTTTAAATCTGTATTAGAGATGGGTAGCTCATGAGCGATCCGGATCTATTGAGCGGCTCCCTCAGAAGAATGAAAGAGCGGTGGCTCAGTAAAAATGAGCGGCGGTTCTTCTGGTCTGTGCTCTCTGTGGATGGAATGTAGAAGCAGAGAGTGAAACAAGAGCTGCTCTTGTAAGCAGCTCTTGTAATATGATGTTATAGTGAGAGCCAGGCTTCTGCCAGCCCACCCATGCCAACAGAGACGGATCTGTGAGCCGAAGAGCCGGATCTCGAAGAGTCAGACAGACTCAGGAATGATTTGTTTCTTTCGGCTCCTTTGCATCTTTGAATCTGGCTCTCAATGGATGAAGATTGGAATGATATCGTTCTTCAGCTCCTTGCACCTTCTCAATTATACTGATTGAGATCCGCTCAGAGAGGTTCACTCATTCTACAGCATTCCTCCGTCTTATGAATTGTGCTGCTGTTTTAAAGGTAAGAAAATTCATGTGAATTATAATAA